GGCAATTTAAAAAATATTAAAATAGATTGCTTTAGTTTTAGATCTATAGAATAATTTGCTCATTTAGAAATTATTCAACTGATGCTCTCTGTCTTCCTAACTCATCAAAAATATATTAATCAGGAAATGTTGTTCAGTGTCTACCATACAAGAGACAGGCTTAACATCATGATTTTTATATAAATATATATAATTCATGGTCATGGATTGCAGGGAACACAATCTAGTTGGGTTTCTGGACATTATATCTCTCCATAATATTTAACTAGCAACTTTCGGAATTATGTGACAAATACTAACATGGCCCTGACTGTGAGAGAGTTTAGAGTAGGAAGTTGGGAGAGAGATCACTTTGAAGTGGGGTGCCCAGTCCGTGGAGGTGGAACTTTACTTGAGTCTAGAAGGCCAAGCAGTGTATAGGGAGGGAAAAAAAAAAAAAGAAAACAGAGAAAAGAGGAAGAGCATTTCAAGAAGGCATATGTACAGTAAGCAAAAGGAAACATATTTGTTCCAGACTTAGAAAACAACGTACTGAACGGTTCAGTAATGAAAGATATAAGTTGTAAGGTTGATGATGTCGAAAACTGTAAATATTAGATTCTTAAACACCAGGAAGCCAGCAAAAGATTTTGAGCTGGATAGTGATATTATGACAAGCCTAGTTTGAACTGAAGAGAGATTGGAGGCTGGGTATTCAGTAAAGAATCATCAGATTCAAAAACTTTAGAAGTGCCTTCCTTAAACAACTAGAACTCATTTAGGTAGAAGAGAAAGCTGAAACTCAAACAAGTAAAGAGAATAGTCTAAAAATGTGTTATAAGGTTTTTCTTTTTCGTTTTCAAATTTTTATTTTACTTTCAGATGACAAATTTATAATTTCATACAAATTTTGTTATCCTTTATTATTTTATTTTATTTTATTATTATTTTTTAAAGCCTACAGAACCCAGAATTCCTAGGTGGTCTCCTATCCAAGTACTAACCAGACCTGACCCTGTTAAACTTCTGAGATCGGATGAGATCAGGCGCGTTCAGGGTGTCATGGCCGTAGACAAATTTTGTTATTCTTAAAAATGAATGTAAAAGACTGAGTTAAAGGCAACTCTATCAGGTATCGAAGTGTATTTTGGGGCTAGAAACACATTAAAATAAATAGTTTTAATGGAATTGATTTAAAAATTCAAGACTTTAACATTCAATTGGCTATTGCTGAGAGATTAAACCATCCTTTTACATTTATGAAAAACAGTATGCTAACAAATAATTTCTAGCTCTATTGCATCATTTGATAACCCATCTTGTGTTATTTTCATTATATTAAATGATCGCAGTAAATCTGAAAATGATGTCTCATAATTTGTTGAAAAATTTTATTATTTTGTTGCTGGATTTATCACTAAGACAGCTCACATTATTTTCACATCATTTAATAAACAACATATTTTCAAGGTTACTGACATTTCTTTTGGTTTTAAGTGGCATTTAATGTTTGTTTGCACTTGGGTAGGAACTGAAAAATCTCATCAAAAGACAGTTGCTCATTTCCATTAAGCAGCCATGAAATATGAATAGTAATATTTTTTTATCTGAGTTCAAAGTAAACAAGAAGAATAGTCATAAAATCTGAAAAACTGACCTATTTGCTCAAGAAATTTTCTTACTTCTAATAACTTTTACCCATCATTTTATTTCTTTTGAAATATGTGATAATTTCCAATGGCCAAAGGCCACCAATGGAGAAGAAAAGAACAGTTGCAATCTAATTGGTTTGGAAAAGTATTTCAGAGTTTCTACAATATTGTAAAACTCCTTGTATACCATTTAAAGCATAAAATCTTACAAAATTTGATGTTCATTGATTTAACACAAAGTTTCAATCTGCCTTTAAATGCAAGGATTCTGTTCTATAGAAAATTTATGTGTTTATTCATGTATTTATCCAGGGAATGTTTATTGCGTGCCTAAGTAACCATGATGTAAGGTAAAAAGTGAAAAATCCAAAAAAGCTATGTATGGTTGGAATGCTAATGGAGATAGAAGCATACTGCTCTAAGTGTTCAAGTTGAGGGGCTTAGGGACTTCTTCCACAAACTTCTGTGAAATTATGAAAGTCCTTCAATTCTTTCAGGGGGACAGACCAAAGTGACCTGGAGATTCCATGTAATTTGTACGATTGTTACACAACTAAGTGTATGTACAGAACCAGAAAGTATAGTAAGGAAATATGTAAAGAGATTATCAAGGTCAATGCCCAAGCTATGAGCTCACAATGATCTCTACCTCTTTCCACATGTCATTGTAGCTAAGATCAAATGCTTCTACCATTTCTAGCCAAGTTTGAGATTTAGGAGAAACTAGTACATGGATATTTTTGATGAATATTCAGCCTGCTTGACCTTGAAAATTAGTATCCTTTGGGGTACACACATTAACTTTGTCAAAAAGATATATTTGTGGGATTTGAATGAAGTCTTGCAGTTTTTATAGAAATATGAAGGTTCTGAGCCAATGGAGTGCAGGAACGCCCTACCTTCCAAGCAGCTTAATCCAAGGACATTTACAGCTAAGTCTCGTGTGAACATACACGTTTACATGTGTGTGTACATGCGTGAAGGTAAAAAGTGTGTTTGTTTACATGCGTGCACATAGACACATAGTACAGTACTTCCATGACAGGAAAAGAAATGAAGAGTCAAATAAAAGAAAAAGTCCTTGATGAAAGCTTTAGCACAGGTTTGTTTAGGATTTAATGTCTTAGGTTTATGGCATATTTTTATTCAAATACGATATTCTGACAAGATGTTAGAATTCAGTTATGGCAAATTCATTCTACTAATTTTATTCTAATTTCCCCTTTCTTCTTTCCTTCCAACCTCCCTTCCTTCTCCTTTTTTTATTTGCAAAATTTTACCAATAAGGGCATTACGAAGGTGGGAAAAAGGATGTTGTCTGAACATAAAGTAAGATTACTTTAGTAAAGAAAGTATTAAGATAGCAAAGATAAAACATGTCACCACTTAATTTCTATCCTATTTTTACTTTATTATTTTTCATATTATTTAATCCAGAAGTTGCCTGGGAACCTAAATTATCTAGGTAATTATTTTGGTACTCCATTGTATTGGTTATGTAAATAAAGTCCTTAAGTGAAACCTTAAAAAAAAGTACCAAAAAATATTGAGAATGTGCATTGTAAAAATGATTACTGAATATATTCATGTGGATAAACACACACTGTACTATGTAGTATTGGAGTATAGGAAGATTAGAAATTTATGGACCACCAGAAAGTACTTAAATTTTGTTTAAAAATTAAGATTTTAAGTTGCTTCCAACACTTTTTAAAGGTTATACCCAAAACGTAGATAAATTAGGCTTGAATGTAAAGTGAGGAAAACTTTTACCTTAAATTCTTCTTAGTACTTTGTCATTAATTTGAGAAAAAAAATTTAAAAGACTATGTCTACTATTATAATAAAATATTTATTATAAAAATGATCACGTTTCTCTGTACAAAGCCTGGAGGCAAAAACACAATTTATACATTAATAATTTAAGTGAGTCTGAATGTTCAGTATCCATTCACTAGATCTTAAAGCTCCTTCACAAATTTCACAAATACCCATGTAGACTATTTCTATTTTACAGAACTCCATTTACACAGCTGATGCTATTGAGGTACCAACATTTCTTTTCCTCTAGTGTTTTAAAGATACTTCACAGTGTTGGGTTAATTAATCGACTGCTTTAAATCTTTGGTAAATACAATTATTTACATGAAAAAACTATTTAAATTTCAATAAAAACTGAAAAGTCAAATAACCTATTGCAAATCGTTCTGTATAATCAATAAATGCATAAGCCAGAATCCCACCATCAAGAAGTCAGTATCTAGGACTTCTGATGATAAAAATCTGACAATGAAATTTACAAATAGTTTGAGACTTCTATGGCCACTCCCAGAAGCACCAAAACACTAGGCCATGAAAAAATTAAACAAAAATGTTAAGTTCAACGCACAAACAGTACTGATTATTTTCCAATGCAGAAAAGTCATTTTTTTTCTACATCCCAGTTTAAATGTCAATTTGACACAAATGAGTTTATTATCTCATTAAAGGCTAATATCTTATATGAGTGAGAGAGTCGTTTAAAGAAGTCATACTGTTTTGAAAGACACCAATTCGTCCTCTTGCTAATAATATATCCATGAAAATGTGGATCATTTCTTGAAATAACTTGTGGGGAATATAGCAAGACACCTGCCTTCTGCTTCCCTGCTTTTCTCTCTCCCTCCTCCAATCTTTCCTTCCTCCCATCTATCCTTCCTTCCTTCTCTCCTTTTTTTTTTTAATTCCTTCTCTACGAGTAATGTACTCGACTACCCTGTCAACATGCACATTATACCTGAACTCCCAAATGTTCCATATGCATTATAGTTTTCATTCATTAGCGCTTAATCTCAATGATTCACAAATGAAAACATCCTGGCATGAAATCCTCTTACTCCTAGGCTACTTGTTAAAATTACTCCAAGAAGTATTTAAATTCTAGTGTTCTCGAGCAATTTGATAAACAGAATTTTTTACAGACATGTTAATGCTGGAGTGTAGAGAGTATAATTTAGCATATCAAATATACATCTTTTTAAACCTAGAAAATGGATGCCTTTGTATTACCGCCACTGCAGGGTAGAGAACAGCTCTTCCTACTGAGTTAGGTTCTGAGTATATAATTTCTTGCTCAAACATTAGCTTTTCCAATCTACTGTTTCACTTACTAACAAAACAAGGTGAAAGATATTTTTGCTATCACTTTGGCATTCTCTCTAACCACCAACATCCTGAATTCAGTGCATATTTTAAAATTCGTCAGAGACTAGGCACCTGGCAGTAAGTGTTCACTTATTATGTGAAGTGTGAACAGGGACCGCAGCATAATCAAGGCCCCGCATTTAACAGAAAAGGCTTTCTTCTGAGTTTTTACATAGGCTCAGTGCCTTGGCTGCAACTTTGAATAAAACGTTTGAACTCATTTCTCATTCAAAGTAAATGTTATTTTAGTCACCAGTTTTTCCTCTCTAGAGCACATAGATACATACAAAATGTACATTTACATCCATGTCTAATCATACAGTGTAAACTAAGCCTTACTCTTTTGAAAGGCAGGAAAATACTGGTATAATTGACACTCGATAATCAATAAATACTAATACCTTATACCTTGTCAACCGGAGGTCTAAAATATCAGTCTACTGCAACCGCTAGCCCATATCTTCACTTCACTCCCTTTCCCATTCTTGTTGATAAAGAGATAAAGAAGATAGTGAAGCTTCTATTTTCTTTAGGATTTGATATCAACCCAAGCATTATTCTAAGCTAAAAGAATAAAGAGCTGGCTAGCTGTTAACTCCTATTGTCCTGCACTGTGCTTTCCTGGGTCACGGAAATGAGTTTTGTTCCTCTTCTTTTCAGTGTCCTGTCAAGAAGTTTTTTTGTTGCTGTTGCTTGTTTTTGAGGGAACGAGAGTTCACATGCAAACATTCAAGAAGCAGCACTGCTGTAGACGCACTTTGATCCCTTAAAGTGTCCTGAGTGTCTCTCTTCACACGGCCACTTTTTCATTCGCCAGGTTCTTTGGTTCCTTACTTGGGACACACCAGTCATCAGCCTCATTGCTCATCTGATAATGTTTGAAAGCTGATTTATTAAAGACTGGGAGTTTTTCTATAGACTCAGAAGACAAAGCCTGAAAGGAGAAGGAGGAAAAAAGTCAAACCAAAGAAATTATTTATGATATAATTGATACTTGAAGAGATTATTCAATATATTATATTATTCAATATAAATTTAGAGCTAAGTAGTCAAACATTCAAATACATTCTTTTAATTGATTTAGTAATAAGAGCACACCAAAGCCCATAGTATGTTAGGCACTGTAAAAAAGAAAAATAAAAAATAAATATTATCTCTATCCTATAGGAGATGAAATAGTATATCTACAATTATAAGTTAGGGAATAGAATTTGTGTTCAATATTTATACATGTCCCTTGTTTGGATATTACTGATATGATGGAGTTGAATAGGAAAGTTATTTTTTCCAAGTAAAACTCTCATGTCTGTGATAAAGTAAGATACCTAATCTGATACTACTAATCTATTAAAATCTGATACGATAAATACATAATCTATTAATCTTTCCCAATACTTTGAAGACTTTGGTTCATTTAAGAAATGAATGCATTAATTACTTCAGATGGCCAAAGACCATTTGACAAATAATTCCTTGGCACAGAATGGGAACCGAGAAGCTTAACATTTTAGTTGCTGATATCTGTAAATACATTTTCAGTCGAAATAGTTGGCAAATGATAAACAGAACCAGGACAGTGGCTTTAACGAATTGAAACTTTATCAGAAATAGAAAAAGCTTTAAAGTTTAAACAGAAAATGCTAAGCATCCCACTGACAACTTGTGAGCAGTCAGCTTTCCTTTCCCTGAATTTCTAACAGGGTCAGCTAAAGTCTTGAGTATCTTGATAGTAGTTGTTTTTGAGCCTAGAGTATTATTAGCATATATTTCCCACAAATTTAAGTAAAACAAAAGTATGGCTCTTCTCACAGACCCCAAAGGAGTTGTGTTTAAAAAAATTCACATGAGCATCTGAAACTAAAGTACTTATTGGACAACGATTTTGCTTCAGTGACACAGGTAGCCTGGCTCCACTTCCTTTTCAGTAAGTTATACATTAAATAGTATACCTACACACACCAAAGAGAAAACAGAATAACTTGCATTTAACTCAGTTTGGGGTATTCATTATAGACCAAAGAACTCGGGGCTGTAAAAGAAGCAAACTTTTCAGAAATATGATTTTTTCTATTGAATTCAAAGGATACCTTTAAGTAAATGATCGCATCTGTTCCATATCCTGATAAAGAGTAGAGATTCAGATCTCCCTGAAAGTACTTGGCATAGAGACGAGAAATCGGCAAGCCATAACCAAAACCAGCCTAGAGGGGAAAGATCAGTTATTGGTAAAGAGACCACCAAGACTACTGGAATACAAAATGTAGGAGGGAGTTATTATCCTCCCTCATACTGATGTCCTAGAACCTAAGTAAACATCTTCTGCTTCCAATTAGAGACCCTTTAAATTGTTTCACCATTTTTAGCTTGCTTTATCATTCTTTCTCATATCCCCCATGTTGCCCAATTCAACTAAATTGAATAACTTGCCTAAATATTTCCTTGCAATTATTGCTTTTACTTTCAGAATGAGGTGGCTGGGGTGTACTTAGCCCTACAATGCTTCTTACCAAAGGAGCATTCCGGGAATTATCCATCACAGGCGTCGGTGCAGTGGAATATGTATAACTAAAGAGGCGGTCGATGATCCTCAGGGGGACACCACCTCCTCTGTCTGAAATCTAAACAAACAAACAAGTCATCAGAGCTACACATTATAAACAATGTACATTTGTCTACAGAAAAATGTCACCTGGTATATATGACTTTGAACTGTTGCTCAAAGCTCAGAGAGCTTTCTTATTATTGACTCTTTAATTCTCTCAAGAGACACTCAAAAGAAAAATAAAGAATGGTTACCTTAATTGTAAGATCTTCTTTCCCCAAGACAACAATCACCTCAATTGGTGTAAGGGAAGGCTGGTTTTCCTGGTGTTCAACTGTTGCCCTCATTGCATTCTAAAGAAAACAAAACCGTAAGGAATTCAATGGCAGAAGAATGAAGGACAATAAATAACTAGTTTTTATGTTTAAAATAAAAGCAGCACAGAGGGCAATTCAAAATACTTATATACATTTTTAATTTAGTAGTTAAAACAGCTCTGTAAATAGTTATTTATGAATGTGTCATACAGGATGTATAATGAAAAATGTTCATTTACCATGTAATGTAGCTCCTGGGAGTAATGTCTAATGGAAAAACAATTCTGCTAGTTGTCAAGTTCTCATTTGTAAGCTTAATTTAAATGTAGAAATTGGTTTTTATAGTCCATTTCCTGACACTCTCTTTTCTGTCTTTCCATTACATTTTATATCCAAACACCAAAGACTATCACATAACAAATGAACAGTGAATCATTGAACCAATTTATTGGCTTTTATAAAATTTGCTGGGAAAAAAGTTGTTACTATTTAGAAGGATACTACCTAATTCTAAATTAAATTTCAATTTGCATGTGATTATCATCTTAACTTTTACCAGTGATGGCAAAATAACTCTGTTGAACCACTCAATTTAAAAATAAATCAAATTAACAAAAAAGTATTTTTTGTCCTTTAAAAGAGAAGAAACCCAAACAAGTTTTCAGGTAACTGGATGAATCTCATACAGATATAGTTTTAGTTTATTTTACCCATTTTCCTCTCTAACCTTCTTCTAGTAGGTTATCTGCTTTCTGGTTTTTATTAAATATTAAGTGAAATAAAACAGATCAGATGTTTGTAGTATAATCACTACCTCATTACACTAACATTCGAATAAGTTAGGAAACAGTATGTTTGGAGAAGAGTTACATCAGAATTAGAAGCAGATTTCACTTTTTTTAGACTTCTTCCTCCCCAGTCCAAGGGATTCTTGGGAGCATCACAAAGCTTCAGGCATTTCTCTATCTTTTGGTGTAAGTACAGAATTATAGTTTGGTCTTAGGACACAGAATAGGATTTGATTTTAACACCTGGCTACCCCAGACCACTAACATCTGCATCTTCTGATAGCTTGTTAGAAGTGAAAATTCTCAGACCTAGAAAATCAAAATCTCCTTGGCAGAGCCTAAGAATCTGTGTTTTAACAAGCCCTCCAGGTGATTCTAATGGACACATGGAAGTCTGAAAAACACTACCCTGCAGTCTCGCCATGGAATGTGGACTGGACTAGCAGCATCGCCTATTAGCTTATTAGAAATTCGAATCTCGGGTCTCACTCCAGACCCACTGAATCAGAATTTTCCTTTTAACAAAACACCCAGGTGATTCATAAGCACGTTAAAGTAGATCATTGAAGGAACAGACTGTCCTCTGAGTATATTCTAGACTCAGGTTGGGGCTCTGCCACCGATAGTAATTCTGGACCTGAATCTCTGGATTTGGAATTCAACCAGCCTGTAGGGGTGGAAGTAACGAACTCTCAATTCCTGAAGCATTCACTCATGACGTTCCCTAACAAATGAATGAATGAATAGTGCTTTGTTGGGCATCTGATAAAATAATGGGAATAGAGAGCATTGAGACATCATGAATCGGACTGTGCACTCTCAAATACATATTGATGCTACAAGGTACCCTATGTACCCTTTCGAACATAAATTCTACTCTCCTGTTAGGAGCACAGAAGCATGCTTGGGAGAAGATAGTGAGGCTTCTGTTTAGTCAGAATGTAACCAGTAGATTAAAAAAAAAAAATTGCAATTATTGCGAAGTGTCATACCTTGAATAGTTCAAAGAGCATATGATGAAGGTGAGAAGAAACATACACAATGTGGATCGGTTGCCCTGGAAATTTTTCTAGAAAAAAGTCAACTCATTAGAATTGGTAAACAAATATTTAATTAAAATAAACTTCCACATCTATTTCATTAATATTTTGGACTTAAACAGGATTGGAATACTCCTCATCCTACTCACTCCAAAATCCTATCCTAGAACCTTCCCTCTTAAACAGCAAACACAACTGGTTTATTTTCAGAATGCTGCTGCAGTTGCTAACTAGTGCACTATGATTAATTTTTGCCTTTCTCTACAAATCCATGAGCCAGATGAAGTGTGCAATGGGGGTGCTATAAATTTAATTACATAGATTATTTGTCTCTATTTCCAAAACTTTTGTACTGGACAATCTCGGAATTATAATTGTATGCATCGTAAGAAAGAAGAAAAATGTGTCTACAGTATAACATAAAAATTAATACTAGCTATAATTTTTATATTTTGAAACTGAGGTAGCACATAGAAATTACACAATAAACATGGGAAAACAACACATCTGATTATTCTTGTTTTTATCACCTAAACATTAAATCTAACAGGCTAAATATACTTAAATTTCACCATGAGGCTAAAGAAAACAAAAACAAAAAACCCATAGTACTGTTTGAAAGGAAAAATAAAAGTATTATTCTTTGGTGCCCCAGGCCTTGGCAAAGTTGGAATCAGAAGATATAAGGTCTGGCTTGATTCTCTCTTTATTTCATCAAACAGTACAAACAGTTTATGTACTACTATTAAGCAACAATGCTGTTAATGCTTAGAGATCTTTTTCAGTATTTATTTGTACTCATTTTCAGTTTAGAAATCAACTACATTTGCACGTCTCCAATCCATGAGTTAGGCTACTCTTAATTTGAACTTAATTTTTAAACTCTTGCCACCAACAAACATTGTTCATGCATAATGATTACTTGGAAAAGATGTTTACTTTGAAATGAAAGGAAAATATTATTTCAATTAAAGTACACTGTCTTAAGAAGCAACTATGGGATAAGATAAAAACAGTGCCTTGCATTTGTCACGCAATCACTTCAGGCAAAATGGGAAGACCATTTTTTCAGGTCAAGGCTGTTAGAGTATGCTCTGCTTCCGAAAATGGTATATACTTATATAGTGGAATTTAAAGGAAGTTTTGGTAAGAACATTCAACATGAGATCTACCTTCTTATATATTTAAGTGTACAATACAGTATTGTTAACCAGAGGCACGATGCTGTACCGCAGAGCTCTAGAAGTTACTCATCTTGTGTAAGTGAAATTTCATACCCGTTGAATAGTGACTCCTTGTTTCCCCTCTCCCCGGACTCTGGCAACCACCATTCTACTCTCTGCTTCTATGAGTTTGACTATTTTAGCTGCCTTATATAAGTGGAATCATGCAGTATTTGTCCTTCTGTAACTGGCTTATTTCTTATAGTGCAATTTAAAGTATTTTTGTTTCCAGATCTTGTGGGTAACCTCTTTAGGATGGTATCTCCACTACCAAGAGGTTCCTCCTACTTCTGCCCTGCCTTCAATTCCCCCTACCCCCATATTCTGTAGTAAGCAATCTTTCTTTGATCTAAGATATCGTAACTTAGTTACTTACTCTAAATTCTAAATTATTTGTTCAAACTGTTCTTTATGAATTGTCAACTGAATATGCTCAATTGGACTTTCCAGTTGAGATAAAGAGAACTTGGCTTTAAAAGAAAAAAAGTGTACAAATTCTAGGCAAGTTCAGAAGGGGAAAATGAAACATAAAAATTGCATTGTATTTACAAGAAGTAATTATACCAGGAGAACACTCAATTTTTCATAGATTAAAATATATTTTATTTATAGCTTACCATTCACTTGTGTGAGCTTTAATTCTGGAGATGTTAAATAATACTGATCACAAAGCATCCTCGAACACTCAAAGGCATCTGGAATAGAAGTTTTTTCATAATAATGAAATAAAGTTGTACCAAGTGATCTTCAGTTTGTACATTACTCTTAATCTAAAATATGCATTAGAGTATAAGTTTACGTACATAAAAATATCTTTTCAATATTTTATAGAAGAAAAATTTATGACACTGTTTAAGTTATACCTATAGCAATAAGAATATGCATGCATACTTCAGAAATCAAATACAACATAGGAATATGGCACATTAGCTAAAGGTTTGGATTTTTTATAGTATTATAAATGTACGTGTAACCCTTTACCTTCATGACATTATTTAAAAAATATAAAGGGAACACTCTGAATATAAATTTATTCACAGAGTCACCCTGACTATATGTCAATCACATAGTGTATATTCTCAATAAGGGAAATGTAAAAATCTAGAAATTACCTTGGACCACTGCTACTACATCACATTTTGGATCAATGCTTCCAATGTGGCTTGGGTTTCTTGTCTGTAAGTCGCTAAATATAAGAACTGTTGAAAAATACAAAAAATATTGGTATAAAAATCAGAATAATAATGATCAGAACTACCATTGATAAAGAATGTGACCCAATAAATAGTGAAACATCTAGTTAGAGTATGGCTTATATTCTACACCCATCTCTATATATTATGACCATGATGAACTAACTTACTGTGCTGGTTCATTAGCATCCGTGTAGAAATACGGTTCATGTAAAATCGATCCAAGAAATATTGAAGATTTTGGTTGGTGATTGGGTCAACTGTACAGCCATCTTTAAATTCTATGATTCCTTGTGCCATTGTAGGGACAACATTATGGTGTCTATTTCTAACTTCGATGAGAGTATCTACAAAACTAAGCCAAAATACATTTACAGTTAGTGAAAGTTCAAGTAAATGTCATTCGCTTATATTCCTTAGATTATAGGTGTATCATAGCATATGTATCCCTTAATATAGAATTATGTCTGGAAAAAGTCAAAGTTTTAGATACTTATTCTAATGCATAGAACTTACTCTGACAACACTTTCTGGTCTTCTGGGTTTCTCTCATGGAATTCCACCAAATCCATCAGGCTCTGGATATACCTATAGAGCAACGGGTGTGCTTTAAGTTTTAAAATTGAATAGTCAGATATAAGTGACTAAAAATAGAATGTCTTTTTCAAATGATTTGAAAACATAAAATAAGCATTATGTTTAAAATTAAAACTCCAAAACATTTGGAAAACAATCTTAAAAAAAAAAAAAAAGCTACAACTTTAATCTTTACCCTTCTAACTTAAAATTAATTTTTATATAACTATTTCAGATCGATACTTGGTTTTCTGTTTCGTTTGTCAAATGTTTTTATTTTTTATAGCAAAAGCATTTAAAAACAACTTTTTAAGAACAGCTTTATATTTTTTCCTACTTCATTCATAGGTGAGTATAAGTCTTGAAAGCAGCAGTAAATACTATGGATTGAATATGTGTTTCAGATTATAATTACTTAATGGGTATGTAATACATATATTTCTTGAATCAATGTACACTCAAAAGCTGTACAGTCAATGGATTAGGGTGAAGCTCTGGTGCATATCCACTTCAGTGCATATCCTGGCTCTGTTCTCTGAAAATCTGCTCCTTTGGGTTATCTACTTTCTCGAAGCTTCAATACCCTTATTTATAAAATGAGATTTTAATAAATGACACTAAATGCTGGCTGTGTGCCAGGCACTTTTCTAAGTGCTCTTTAATAGATTACATCATATAATTTAATTACGCTCAAATATTCCGTTGAGGCATATATTTCATTCTTTTCAGTATTAGATGGAGGAATTGAAGAATAGAGAATTTAAGATACTGATACTTGCCAAGGATTCCACAACTAGGAAGAGACAAAAGCAGGATTTGAACCCAGCACCTTCTCAGTTAATTGATTTGTATATAACAAAATCAGAATAATAGTCATTTATATCTATTTCTAAGATAGGATTCACTTACCAATATCAAACTCTTTTATTATTAAAAATATAAAACTAAAATTGTAACTATATTATTTTTCATATTTCTTCTAAAAGTAAAAATTATAACATGAAAGTATTTACTTTTTCAGGGTAAAAATGTCCATTTCTAGCTTAACAACTTGCCCTTAAAATAACTTACCCTAAATTAATAAAGTTCTTTACACCTTTAAAAAGTTTTTTCTATTCATATCACCTGTTTTCTAATATTGATGGTAATATATTAGAAGAATTCATATTCAGATAACTGTCTGAAAATCAGAGGCCATTTCAGAATGCTTCGCTACTTACCAGCTTTTAACTAACTGCACTGAAGCAGTATTTATTAATTGATCAGGGAGAATATCAATTTCCTTCAGAATATTGGCGAGCCTCACAGGCAATTCTTGTCGCAAAAATGCAAAAGAAGTTCTTTCACATGCGCTTTCTGAACCTATAATAAATAGAATTTGTTTAGTTTTTGGAAACATGTCTAAGTGATTTATTTCAATAGCATTAACTATCTGATATTGAATACACACATTATTATAACATTATTTCCGCCCTCAGTTGGATTACTGTTTGTAGATAATTCAAGAATATATTCTTCATTGCCTTTTTTTAAGTGATCAATATGAGACTTATTATTTTTTCTTTTTGAAAAAGATTCATTTCCAAGAAGTCAGAATGTCCCACAGCTCTTAGTAGTCATAAGGGTGCAGGGTTCAGTCAACACCACAATGTCAATGAGACATCTTTCAAAGAGTTCTAGATGTGAATTTGGAGTGGAAGATAACCAGGGTGGGTGTTAGTCGTGATGTTTCCAGACTAGTGATAAATAACAGCGCATTTAAATCCTTGAAATTTTCCTTCTAAAGTTACTGCAGAAAGCTCGTAAATATTTTCAGCAGTAAATGCAAATATATGGAAAACTGTAATGGTAAAGAAATTTGTTAGAAACGCAGAGATGTATCCTGTAGAGGGTGGATAACGGATAAAATCTCAATTAATTTGAGGCTACTTTTATATTAGAAATCTTCAAGAAGTACTATGCCACGAGGGGATAAAATTTCTTGTTTATTGTTAAATGCTGACTGAAAGCGAAAATGTATTTTGATGGAAGCTTTGCACAGAAAAAAAGAGGAAAGATGAGCTCAAACCATCCAGTATCAGCAGAGCTGCAAGTGACTTCAACCTGTAGGCACAGACTGTCAGAAAGAAGGTAGATCTAGGAAAAGGCCAAGTGTGCTGGCATCGAGGCTCCAGGGTTTAGCAGGAAAGCATACTCTGGTTAGTTTTAAGCACTGAACCTAGCCCTCCCTGCACCGGGAATGAAAATTAAGGCAGTGCCCCAGCCCCAGCGCTCCCGCCCGGGCCCTACGTCCCGGCTCACCAAAGTCCAGCAGCTGCTTCATGGACAGCGGAGACGGGCTGTAGCGCGAGAAATGCTCGACCTCGCGGGGAATCAGGGAGCCCGCGCTGCGCATCACGAAGCGGGCCACCCTCATCTTGATGTCCACCGGCGGGGCAGCAGCTGGGGCTGTTTTGGGCACTAACGCTGCGAAGAGCAGAACCTGGGATCGAGGAGGAGCGGGGCGCGCCGGGGCGAGGAGGGCAGGTGTGCTGTAGGGCTCGCACACCCGGGTCTGGGCTGAAGTTCAGGGGTGCTTCGAAGTAGAGGAGTCCAGCAGTGAATCAGAAGAGCTATGAGTGGCTTGAGACTCAAGTGCTCATCTTGCCACCACCAGCTGCCTCCTGCGGTTTTATGTGTTTCCCCGCAAGCCCCCCCCCCATCTCCACCAGGGAGGAGTCACTGGGACTTGGAGACGCGTCCTGAGCCTGGGACCGCGCCGATTGGCTCAGATACAGAACTTTGGGGCCCGCCCTCCGGCGGCGGACCCTGCCCAGTGGCCTGGCGCAAGTGCCCGAGGCCGTGACAAGTAAAAAGCATAGGAGGAGGTCAATGCGGACATCTGGAGATAGGTGGGCTCCAGATCAGTCACTTGAGACAGCTCCCGGGACCGCGTGGGTTGGAGGCCAAGCCAAATTCTTCCGTTTTTACAAGTGTGAGGCTGTCTCAATGTCGCGCATTGCGGCCAGGAACTATTTCCAAGAATCTGCTTTCCGGGAGCTCATTGGTCCTCACTCAGAGCTGGGCTTTTACAGTAGCCAATCAGCTGTGTTCAAAAGTATGGGCTTCTCTGCCGTTGGACAGTCAAGAAGAATAAACAGCCTAAAGGAACAGCACAAGTTAAGAATTGCACACGTTAGGAATCACAAGTTCTCTGCTAAGTCTTGCGGAGCTGCCCCAAATACATAATTTTTTTCTCCCGACGATAAAAGGCCATCAATTTGTTTCTCTCCAGTAATACATTCTCTCCATCAGGTTTAACTCTGTTAATTGAAAACAAAATTAAAAAAGATAAATTTGACTCACCTTCCCCCACTCCATCACAGAATTTGCTTGCTCAGTTCCCCTGTGTGAAATGTCCTTAATACAAATCTTTGCCAAAGGCATTCTTTTCTATCCTTAAACGTTCAGCATAAAAGATGTGCTGCAAGAGATCTTTCCTGATGCTTCTCTTCACTGAGACTTTCAAATATGGCCTTTGTCACTTATGACATTATATCGTAGCTACTTATGTTCTTATATTGTCCTTCTCTGAAAACCTCCTACCCTGAAAGAGATCAGGGTTGGGACCATGTCTGATGCATCTTTGTGATTCCTATCCTGCTTTGTTGCCAAACTTAAGCAGTTGGGGAAGCACAGGGAAAGTTCCAAATTTCATCTCTATTTAGAGATGGGTCTTGATACCACTATGATTTATATTTTTGTATTCTGAATCCTTTGTTACAAATTCTCATAGCCCAATAAAGAAAAAAAATTAATGTGTTCCAGAAGCCAAAAGATTAAATAAAACTCTCTGATGAAGCAAATAAATTTAAGGTAAAAATCTCTTCCTTTTCCTGGATTACATCCTAAGAACAGAAGTAATAGGAAAGCATGTATTTGCTTTTTCTTACCATGTGTATGGGATCTGGAATAGGCAAAAATATGTATTATAAAGAATTGTACTCTTTAATCTGCCCCAGAAAGGCAATGGAAATGATGCGTTACAAGCAGTTCTAATTTAGGAAAATCCCATTGAGCACTTGGCCTGACTTAGCCAGCACTATTGGCCTGCGTGTGTGCAATGATTAAGGATCATGTGAAATCTTATGATGTTTCTCAGAGATGGCTAAGGGTTAAACGTGAACTGAGATCACCAAACTTTTTTCTCCATGTCATCCCAACCAAAAGTACTTATCAGGTTACTCTCACAGAGCATTACATTCTGTAACATCATTTCTCTATAACGGGAACTGGTGTTATAAGTGGCAACATTTATGGTAGCTGAACTGGACAGCCAGGTCAAGCTCTTTACCCAGTTGGCTAAGACACTATGTATCACAGGCATCCCTTGCTTTTCGAAAGTTTGTTATGCCACTTCCCTTTCACAAAAGACCTGTACCTGTTTTCCTTAACTGAAAGAAATCCAAAGAGTATTTTTGCTTTTATGAAAAAGGGAGAAAAGCAAAAACAGCTTTCAGTGTTTGTTTTGCAGCGAGCTTTATGGAGGCAACAATATCTGGAGCAATGCAAGTGGCATCACCAAGCTCCTTCCCTGGGAACTAAATTCAGCATCTCAGTATCAAGCTGCCATAGCTTTGAACTGTGTCTGTGAATGAACATCTGTGCTTTGTCTCAATTTATTCTGTGCATCTGTTAGTAAGATGTGTGCTAAGGTACCATAAGAGCCTAAGAAAGCTTGTAAAGGTGTTATGCTTAGTGTAAAACTGGATGTAATTAAGTGGATGCAATTATTTGGTATGATTTGGTAGGTTATTATCTGGGTCTGGGAATGCTTAAAGATTTTTCCATATAAATTAATGGTAATTGCTTCTTCGCTTTATGCCACTTCAGCTTATGAAGGATTCATAGGAACGCTTTACTTTTGAATATCAGGGAAAATCTGTACCATGATTAGAGAGTAACCTGGAAAGAGAGTGACACTTTTATTTTCAGGCTGACCACAAATCTTGGAAGTGATCCAGTTGCTACAGAAATAAAGAAAAAGAATTATTTGGGGGCAATGGGTACGGACAAATCTGTGCATTCATTTGCGTAAAGATAAACCATGAGAGGATTATCAAATGATTTGGTGCTAGTGGTCAGGGAGGAGTACCGAAGTTTTTCCACTTGTACTCAGTGCAGAGCATCTCTGCTTGAGACATTCAATTTCTGAAAATTCGAGGGACATGTTTACTTAACATTAAATGAATTCTATACAGCTTGCCTGGCAAAACCTAATAAGGCCACTGGTAAAGCTTAGAAAATGCAAGTTGCACTTTTGCTAGAGGGGTGAGCATGTCCAATTTGACAAAATGCATCAAGACCCCTAAAGAGATGCCTATTCAATTTTTTCACCTCTAGGAACATATTCCAAGGAAGCAATTAGAAATATATATCACAGGAACTTCAAAAGCCATGATGGAAAGGTGAAAAAATTTGACTATAGAATATTTAAAGTTAAAAAATGATCAGCAGACTTGGAGAAAATATTTACAAAATATGTAGCATACCAACAATTGTTTAAGAAATGGCTATTTCATCAGGGAACGAAATAGTCATGATCTGCTGTCTCATGGAGAGTATCGACTTGCTGGAGAAATAGGTGTTTCAAAAAGCAAATGGATGATAAGCATATACGTTAAATTAGGACAAGGGCTATGAAGAAAATGCACATGAAGACTATAGGGGGCTGGAACTACCTTAGATTTGGTGGGCAAGGATGAGAAGGGAAGAAGACAAACGAGTTTGTTTGGGAACACTTAGAGTTAATGAGAAACCACTGGGGAAATAGTCGTGGCTGTCATCATTGGTGAAGGGAAAGTGAGAACTCAAAGGCTATTAAGCTGTTGTTGAGAAGTGAAGATAGATGAGGAGAGTCTCTCCCCAGTTTCTCTATATAAGGCTCCCCTCTCCTATTAGCCTACAAGTATATATCACTTTTGTCCTGTGCACAATATTTCTTTCTGGAATAGCCCTTAGTTTCATTCTTGGCCTCCTTACACTTATGAAGGTCAAAATCCTTCCCCTCTTTAAAGCAACACCAAAACAAAATAGTTCATTCTTGTTTGCATCTGTAGTTCTAATGTCATCAGAAAAAAGCTAGTGAATGCTGAAACTAACACATCTTGACTTTTTGTGGAAAGAATTTTTATCTCAGCTCCAAATACGGGCCTAGCACTCTTCCCAATTGTGTTTGATGTTTGCTTTTATAAAATGAGAGGTGAGCAAAGGAAATGAAATATTAACTAAAGAAGAAAATCAAATGCATAATAAACATATGGAAACATACTCAAACTAATGAGTGAGTAGGAAAATAAAAAGTAATAAGATAATAAGATATAATTGTTCCACCATCAGACCGGCAAATAACGAAAAAGGCTAAAAGCATCTTGTGTTGGCAAGTCCTAGGGAAATGAACGCTCTCCTATACTATTTTCAGGAGTATAAAATTGGCAAATTTTTTGGAAAGCAATTGGAAGAACCTAAAAAATGTAAAGGATAGGTACCTCATTATTTCAGCTATTCCACTGCTATAAACTTGTCTTATAGCTTTACCAACAGAGAGCATAAAGATATATGTACAAGATTGTCCATTGCAGTATTGCCTATAAAAACAAAAATTTGAAAACAACTTTTCTACTCATGAGGAAATGAATAAATAAATCATACACCCATGCACTAAAATAGTTTCTGTGAGTTGTAAGGAATACAATGAGCTGCCAGCATCCAGCTGCACCACCTTTGAGATCCACGCAGTATTTGAACTGAGGTCACACTCTTCACATGCAGCCTCCAATGATGAATAAGCGCTTAGGGCTGGCCATTTCTCCTCAATGTGAGACTCCGCTAATGGGAATTCTCTGCTTTGAGGACCTCTCCTGGTTGGCTGAGGCTTTGTCAGATTTGCAAGGTGGTCTGAGTCTGTCCCTGCTCAATTCTGCTTCCTATGTCCCATTTCCTTTCACAAGCAGCATATATGCACCACAATCTAAAAGATTTCCCTACTCAATACTTCTTCCCCCCTCTAAGCTTTCACCGGCCATCCCTCAGGCAACCCAGCTGGGAGTTCCAGAGCAAACATTTTTCATTACAGAAGTCCTATATTGTAAGAGTCCTACATAGAAGTCATTTCTCTGTTTCTTGAATGTGTATGTAAGTGGGATTTACATACCTAGCAAATGGCATTAGCTGTCATAGTGAAGAAAGCCAACTATAAGCCTCTGAAATTGCCTCGGACTAGAATAGCAAATGTAAAACAATATGGTATCCTGGTAAGAATGATGAAGATTAGTTTCATCCTTATAAGTATCTCGAGAGTGGTGGTTCCATCATATCTTCACTTAATTCATCTATGAAGACTGGATTGAGAATGACTGTAGACTACGACAAACCAATGAAGTGTTAGCGATGATGGCAACTGTTGTGCTCGACATGGTATTTTTGCTACAGCAGATTAATATGGCTCCAGGTACATGTTATACAGCCATAGATGGGGTGAATGTATGCTTTCATTTCTACCAAACATATAAAACAAACAAACAAACAAACAAAAACAAAAACACGAGGAAACCCTAAACCCTCTTGTATTCTGATCACAGCATCTGCTTACCATAGAATCTAGACTGATAGTGTACATGTTAGAAAATTATCCTCTATATTTTTTTAATTGT